AAGTGGACAGAGGTTAATAACAGGACAAACAAAAATCAAGGGTGGAGTGAAATACAATATGGGTGTGGGGCTTAATGAGTGATTTGAATTGTTGAATGCAGAACTATAAATCTAATCTGTAAATGTAAAACAAATAAATCTAATCTGTAATACTTTGTTCTATTAAACTGGCATTCCATGATGCTCACCTTCCCGACATAATTGCTGAAGACAAAGCGAGTGCATAAGCAAATGTGGTGAAGAAAGCTGACGGAGCCCAGCTATCGAAAGATATAATGTCTGGGGTCTTAAAGCCTTGAAGGTAAACAAGCGGCCAACTAGCTCATAAGCAACAAAGCCCACATGGAAGAAGCACACCAGCCTGTGTGATCACAAGGTTTCCAAGAGATGAGGTATCAGGTATCAAAGAACAAAAAATCGTATCATTGTAAATGAGGGGAAGTGCAGAGGGGGACCCAAAGCCCATCTGTAGGCAACTGGACATGCCCTTGCAAAAGAGTCAGGGAGACAAGACAAGCCAGTCAGAGCGCAGTGTAGCAACGATGAAATATACAACTTCCCTCTAGTTTCTAAATACTTCCTCTCCCCACCCCCCACTATCATGATCCCAATTCTACCTTACAAATCTGGCTAGACCAGAGGATGTACACTGGTACAGATAGGAACTGGAAACACAGGGAATCCAGGACGGATGATCCCTTCAGGACCAGTGGTGATACTGGGAGGGTGGGGTAGAAAGGGAGAACCGATTATAGTGAACCCTCGCCACTTCGCGCTTCGACTTCCGCGGCTTCACTCTATCGCGGTTTTTGCGTAACAGCGCATGCTCTGTCATTACTGCCACTGATTGGCTCATACTGTACACGCTTGATGCCATAAATAATATAATAAATAATAAATGATCATTGTAACGTCCAAAATGTTTTACTGTATTTTCCCTTTTTCGTTTAATAAATTCGGTAATACGAGTGTAATGGTGACTAAAGGGTGTTTTTTCATGTCCTCTATGCTCTAACTACGAAAATATTTGATTTACAAATAAGGAATCCTACTTCGCGGAATTTCATTTATCACGGTAGGGTCTAGAACCGATTAACCGCGATAAACGAGGGTTCACTGTACAGGGATCTACATATAACCTCCTCCCTGGGGGACAGGCAACAGAAAAGTGGGTGACGGGAGACTTCAGACAGTGTAAGTTATGACAAAATAATAAATTATCAAGGGTTCATGAGGGAGGGGGGAACGGTGATGGATGGGGGAAAATGAGAAGCTGATGCTAGGGGCTTACGTGGAGAGCAAATGTTTTGAGAATGATGAGGGTAATGAATGTACAAATGTGCTTTATACGATTGATGTATGTATGGATTGTGATAAGAGGTGTATGAGCCCCCAATAAAATGATTAATTTAAAAAAGACTTCTAAACTGAAAGTTAAAAAAAATCTAATCTGTAAATGATTATCTAAAATGTAAACCCTCCACCTAATTAACAATTAAAATTCATTTAAAAAGAAGAAAGAACTGGGGGAGGTATAAAAGAAAAGAGAAATACGATTAAAGAAAGAAACTAAGAAAGACTAGGAAGAAAGCATGCAAAGTAAGAGGAAGGAAAGAAAAAAACACAAGGAAATAAAGGGAAAATTGGCAGGCAGAGTACCCAGGATGGGTTGGCATCCTATGCCCGATAAGGAACTCATAGAGTAGGGTGGCAGCAGGTGGGAGATCAGTTCTTATTGGAGTTCCTACCAGTTTATGTGTTTTCTGAGTCAGAGGTCTTGGTCTGGAAGTAGTTCTTGCTGGTTCAAATGGTGGCTGAAGTCAGTGTGCTTATTCCTGGAAGGAATTCTTTGGACACTGAATGTATTTGGGGCAGAGGTGGTGGTCATAAAAGGAATTCCCATCCTTAATGGCACTCCATGTTCTGCTTGTGTGATGAGGGAGAGTTTACGCACCATCAGACATATGAGGTAGTGTACCTGGTGTCTGATTCACAGGGCAGGATTCTTATTTCAGGTGGAACAGGGGCTAAATCGCTGGGAATAATCGCTGGGTGTAAAGCATTTTTTTCTTGTGTTTGCTAGACATTTGAATGTCATTTTTGGTGAACTGTTCATGTCCTTTGTCCATTTTTGTTTGGATGATAACGATAATGATGATTTGGATTGAAGTATTTAAATTTTCTTTAGATATTAGAGATTAGAGGCAAAACTTAATAAATGGGAAAAAGATAATCTCTTTAATAATAAATGGTGCTGGCAAAATTAGATATGAAGAGAGATCAGAGACCTAACTGTAAAGCCTAAAACTTCAAAGTCCATTAAAGAATATATGGGACAAACTTACAGACCATAGTACATGGCATAAACACACTATAAAACATGATTTAAAGACAAAAAGAAAAGGAGACAAACTAGATGACTAGAAAGTCTTAAAAATGATACATGTGCACCGAAAAATTTTGCCGAAAGAATAAAGGAGAATTCACAGATATGGAAACATTGGTGACAATGACATATCAAACAATGGCATAATCTCTAAAATTTATAGAAAAAATCAACCCCTCAACAACAAATAGACAAATAATCTAATTTTAAAATGGGAAATGGACACCAAAGATGATATTCAGGCAACCAATGAATACAGGAATAAATGTTCAAAATTATTGCCTATTAAAGAGATGAAAACAAAACAATGAGGTATCATCTCATTCTAGCATTAATAATACAACTTTTAGAAAACAGAAAATAAATGTTCAAGAGGGTGTATAAAGACTGGAACCCTCATATACTGCTGATGAAATTATAAATTGGTACAAAATAGTGCTTTCTTAACAAGTTAGAAATAGAAATACCATATGATCTTTAAAATCCCACAGCTTGGTAGATATTTTAGGGAAATAAGAGTCAAGCAAGAGCCCCCAGTAAAAATGATTTATCAATAATTGAAAAAAGAGTTCCTACACAGGTGATTGTACAGACACGTGTTCATTGCAGAATTGCTTATAATACAAAAATGACAATGACATATACATATAATAGACTACTAGGTACATCAAAGACTAATAAAGTATCTATGAAACACCTCATACCATAGATGAACCTAGAATACATCATGCTAAATGAAATCAGTCAAACAAAAATGGACAGATAATCCATGAGACCGCTATTTAAAGGTGAGGAAAAAAGTTTTCACATAATAAAATGTTTTGATGATTGCTGAGGGCTGTAAGGGGAGGGAGAGTAAATTAATTACTGGAGGGTAGACACATAGGAATATTAACTTGAGTGCAGGGTAGGGGAATGTACAAGAACAAAGTCAGTAAAAACTTATAAAGATAAAGACTTTGAGAGGAGTACACGAGGTACAATTAACAGAAGAAAATACTATTGTGTACATAATCCTGCAAAAACAATAATCTATAAGTAGATGTATAGATGGATATGCAACTGAACATGTTCTGGAAGGAGAATGGAAATGTACCCATGAATAATATCTAATTTGGGCAAAGAATATTTCTACATATGTACTTACCAATGCTGCAAATATAACCATGAATATAGTAGTGCATACAGGGGGCAAAGCTATGATAACTTCTTAGCCCTAACCAAACACTTAGGGGAAATAAAGTGCTGGGTCTGAGGGATCAGGTACATTGTCTTGGAAGACATCAAGGTCAATTGGCATAATGTAATCCACAAAGATGAGGTTCTTCATTTTACTTTAGTAATAACTGGAGTTTTAACTGCTCACGATCCACCATCTAAAAGTTGTAAATTTTGTTCTCTCCCTGCCCACAGGGAGAAACTAGAAGAAAACAAGATGAAATTTGTACAGCTGACTAATGGACCACAAGAATCTCAGCTTCCAGGAGCCCAAGGCCCAAAGAACCAATGGTACCTCTTAACACTACCCAACTGGGTTCATAGTTGAAGGTCCATGATAACATAGATAAAAAATGTAGAGCAAAACTCTAAATTAATAAAGACGACCACGTATGCTAGTCTGATTGAGACTCGTGGAACTCTGAAGTCTATGGCCTTTCGTTACACCTCAGTTCTGGAAATGCACCCCACACAGTGATTGAATTTTCAGTCAAACAGGTGAAAAAACAACACTAGGGAGGTATGCTCTCCCTAGAATAATCAACCATTTTACATTTTAAAAGGCAGCATTTGACCCAGGGCAAAGTTCAGAAGCGTTTGTTAAGTCTCGGAAGAGAAACATACCTTGGTCCTTGGCTTCGCGCTTTTCTCGCCAAAATCTGGCTTGTGATCCAAGTGGGTTTTATAAAGGTCAGAAGCCGTTTCAGTACATGGAAACACAAGCCAGAGTCCGCGGCACGGTTGCACATCCCGGCCACGGCTGGGGGAGGGAGGGGTGGGGAGGAGGCGTTGGGAGGCGTAGTCAATGGTACTGTTTGACTCCATTGGCTGAATTAAATTCACCTGGGCCAAATGGGCCAATCCAGGTGTAACGCACACCTAGGCGTACCACCCTTTCCTGGCCAGGAGCTCGAAACTAACAGATTCAGAAAGGAACAAAAAGGGAAAACGAAACACAGGGAGTGGGTGGGATAAGTGATACTACTTGAGGACGTTACAGTGACATGAAGCAAAATGTGTATGACTTGTTAAAGAGAACAATGAATTGCTCTGTCAATTAAAAATAAATGAAAAATACGGACTCAGGAACAAAACTCAGTAGTCCAGGAACTGCCTATATTTTGTATCATCCTAAATTTATCTTGGGGTCATATAATTTAAAATCACACCTTCAGGAAAAATGTCAAATGCCGTTTCCAACATCTCAAAACATTCTTTTTGAGGGCTCCCCAATCTCTTCTTCGATAGTGATATTGTGTGTTGGGGGCATGAGTGGCATCTGGTTTGTGCTGTCCTAATGTATTGTGAATGCATAGCCAAAATATCAGAGAGGAAGGAAGGAGGGAAGAAAGGGGGGAAAACAATGAAGAAGGAGCCTTTCTAGCTTTCAAATTACCTGGCTATTAAAGACTGTTATCAGCCCTTTCTGAGATGCTGCTACCAGGAGATCCAGGTGAGGAATCTTGACAATGCACTTAATCACATCTCGTCTTCTACTCCCTGCCAATGGTATAATATTCATTTCAGTTTTCAACAGTTATTCAAGTTTTCAAAAGATATTCAAGATCA